AAATATATTCTTTTTAAAAATTTAAAAGAAAAATGCGGAATTAATTACGGTATTATAATAATTTCAGTGTTTGTTTAAATGGAAAATCCATGTCATTAAAACAATTTAAATTTGGAATATATATGTGTGTGCACTTTATGTCAATTATAAATGTTAGTGGGCTCCTCATGTCGGCCTTTTTCTCCTCAAAACAATTATAGTGGGCTTCTCATCTTGGGCCCTTTTTCTCCTCCAACTCAGTCCAACCTTTCAAACATTTTATAACCCTACTTCAACGACATCGTTTAAATTATTCAATATTTTATGAACTTGGAGACAAGTTCCACGGTATCTCCACCTAAAAATAATTAATAAATTTACCTGCCCACGTGTGTACAATAATAGTGTATTTAGTTTTAAAATTATAAACTTCTTTTTTATTAACAATACATTATTTGTACGATCCTATATAATATATAATCAACATATCAAAACACTAAAATTATATTATTTCGTTGACTAGATCTTTTAACTCCTAGTGATTTAAAATATTAATTGTTTTTTCATTGTTGATTAAGGGGCTTAATTAGATTAATTAATTAATTAATTAGTAATAACCCATCTCGTTTACTATCTTTATATCTACCATCTTTTTTTTTTTCTTTTTTCCAATTCAAACCACTCACGCATGCCTCTATAAATACCATACGCCAACTTCCCCTCCACATTGCATACCAAGTCAACACACACGAAGATGGAGGTTGTTTCTCAGATCAACGGCTGCTCCGGGGATACCGCCGGAAAAGTCATCATCTGCAAAGGTAAAATACAACCGCTCTCTCTGTTTCCTCCGCCGGCAAATCTCTCTCTATCCCTTAACTTTTTTTTCTTACAGCCGCCGTTGCCTGGGGCCCCGGCGAGCCATTTGTCATCGAAAAAGTCCGAGTGGAGCCGCCACAGAAAATGGAGGTCCGAGTGAAAATCCTCTACTCTTCCATTTGCCATACCGATCTCAGCGCTTGGAAAGGAGAGGTAAAAAAAACACAAATAAATAAATAATTAATTAAATTGTGTTCAAGTCTTTTTGTAATTAACCATTTGAATTATTTGATATTTCAGGACGAAGCCCAGAGAGTTTACCCTCGTATCTTCGGCCACGAAGCTTCTGGGTCATTACCCCAACCCCTAAATTTTCATTAGAAAAAAGAAATTTATTATAATTATAATTTCTTTTTTTTTTTTTTCCATTCCAAATCGCAGTATTGTGGAGAGTGTGGGAGAGGGGGTGGTGGATGTGGCTGTCGGAGATCACGTGATTCCGCTGTTCAATGGAGAGTGTGGGACGTGCCGATGTTGCCAAAACCCGAACACCAACACGTGCGAGAAGATGGGAGTGAATCCAATGAAAAGCACGATGGTCCACGACGGACAAACCCGGTTCACGACGGCGGATGAGCGACGGCAGCCGATATATCACTTTCTAAACACGTCAACTTTCAGCGAGTTCACGGTGTTGGAATCGGCTTGTGTTGTGAAGATAGACTCGGAAGCTCCCATCAAGAAGATGACTTTACTAAGCTGTGGCCTTTCAACTGGTACGTAATTAAAACTCGAAATGACAAATTTTTATTTTTATTTTTATTTTTATTTTTTAATTTTTGTTCATCGCTTTCGTTGTTGACCAATCAAAAAGATTTGTTTTTTAAGCGGAAACCCCAATGTCAAGGGCTATGTGGACAGCAGCATTAATTATGAATATCCCTACCTCGTCTTGTCACTATGTGATCAACTAAAGAAATTAATATCAGTACTTCAATCAACAAACAACTAATTATTAATTAATTATATACATTTGATGCATAATTAAGTTTTTTTTTCTTTTAAATTTTCATATTATAATTTTTTGACATAAACATTACCAATGTATCATATAGTTAAAATAAATGAATTTTGTTGATAAACATGTGTAATTTGATTGACACTTTAATATGATTAGTTTTTTTTAAATGTCAAATAATTTGGTATGATAAGTAATTAGAAAAATTAAAATTAAAACTAAAATGGAGTAAATGAAAAGTTAAAGAAAAAGATAGAGTAGGGTTATTATTATTTAATTGGAAAAAAAAAAAAAGAAAAAAAGAATTAATGTCTGTGGAGGATCTGATGTTTTATTTACTTTTTTGACCGCCCTGATCTGATTCAATGTTAATTATTAAATAATTGCTGTGTCGGCTTTATTTATTTATTGTCCTTTTCTGTTCCATAATTGTAATGTTTTTCTTATGTGATCAAAATAAAGTTGGGAGATGAAAATTGAATTTAATATGATTGCAATAAAGTTTTAAGTACTTTAAATGTTTTATTAATCTTATTTACATTTATTAGAATTAGGAGATGTTATTTCTTTTTCTTTTTCTTTTTCTTTTTCATTTTAATTTTAATTTGAGGTCACCTTGTAGGGGGAAGGGACCATAATTTTGACCTTACCAATTTTATTATATAGTTTTTTTTTTAAAATTATTTCATAAAATCTCAAAATACGATCAAATCAAAGATTCCTTGTAAAATGGTTTATAAAACACATATTTTCTACCATGTGTATTTAAATTTGTCTTTACTCTAATAATTCTTTTCAATTACAGAATCAAAATGGACTTATTAAAAAGTACATAGAAAAGATTTAAAATGGTATAAAAGAAGATAGTAGAAGATACTGAATTTATAAAGAAAGTAAATGATTTTATATTTAAAAAAAAAGATCCGGTTGCAAGGGAATGGCGCTGTACCGGATCATTTCCCGGAAAATGCAAATGGAATGGTGAAGTAAAACGGATTCAAAAAATGGCGGAAGGGTTTGGTCATCCGTTTTGCGCAGTTCCGTTATTAGTTATGGAACCCTTTTCTTGCGTCTACTCCTATTTTTTATTTTTTTTTATTTTTTTTTCTAAAAATATGTTCAAGCAAAGTAATAAGTAAATTTTATTAAAAAAACTTCCAGCAATATTTGATTTTCTAATTTCTTTCATAATATATGAATTTTCAGATATAAATATTATAATTAATTTTTTTAATTTTATCAAAATTGACTATGGGAACAGGAGTGGGTGCAGCGTGGAACACTGCCAACGTGGAAGCTGGATCCACCGTGGCCATTTTTGGGCTGGGAGCAGTAGGACTCGCGGTAACTAATTCTTCTCTCCAGAATATTATAATTATAATTATAATTATTGATTTTTGTTGGTTTATAGCTTAGTTGTATTAATTCAACTCCACCTAATACCTGACTCCAAGCTCTCTTAGTTGTAGCTGTAGCTGTGGGGTCGATGCTAATAAATGTGAAACCTAATGAATTTAATGAGTGAGTTGAATTCAACCTGTCTCCAACTTGTGGTGCTTCTACTTTTGCAGGTAGCTGAAGGAGCTCGAGCTCGCGGTGCATCTAAAATCATCGGTGTCGATGTCAATTCCCATAAGTCTACCATTGGTAACTTATATATTCGAACCTCTTGATTTGGATCTCAATTGGGTTAAGCTTTTCAACTTTGATTCGAACCTTAAATCAAATATTTGTTACAAATAGGGAAGCAATTTGGAATCACCCACTTTATAAACCCTAGAGATTCTCACAAACCTGTTCATGAGGTCGGTATTTATTATATATATGTATATATAATTAAAATTATAAAATTTCACATATTAATGATCTAATACTATAATCATGGATGATTTTGACTTGTAGATCATCATGGAGATGACCAACGAAGGCGTGGATTATAGTTTTGAATGCGTTGGGGGTGTGGAAGTCTTACGCACAGCCTTCTTGTCTACCCACATTGTAAGTTACGATTACAATTCACATTGTAACATGACATGTTTGTATGTGTGACATTGTAAACACGATATTTGTGACATGACATGTTCGTATGTGTGCGGGTACCCGATAGGGATGGGGAACCACAGTGATGTTGGGAATTCATACAACCCCAGAAATGCTTCCTCTTCACCCAATGGAGCTGTTCAGAGGGCGTAAGGTGGTAGCTTCCATTTTTGGAGGCTTCAAAGGCAGGACTCAAATCCCTCATTTTGCCAAACAATGCATCCTCGGGGTAACTAAACTTCCTCCTCCTTTCAATTATGTTTCTAAACTTTTATAACAGAATATATGATTAAATGTAATTAAGATTAGATTGACATGAACTGTAATTGTATGTGTACTCACGATTGATATTCGTATTTCATTCAATTCGTTCGTAGTTCGTATTTCATTTACGATTAGAATTAAGAGACATTTTGGTTAGTTATTAGTGAAGAAAGTAAATGTATATTATGAAGAGGGTTTAAGTTAATTTTTTTTTTTTAAATTTTTATATCAGGTGGTAAAATTGGATGAGTTCATAACAGACGAACTTCCCTTTGAGGACATAAACTCTGCATTTAAACGACTTGTGGATGGAAGATCTCTCAGATGCCTTTTGTATTTGTAATACATTTAAGATATAAACTCTCACGTGTGCTACATAAATAATTCAAATCTTCGTGTGATGTATTTATATTATATTATATTAATATTTGATATTTAAGATTAATAGGATTGTGTTTTATTTTGTAACTATATGAAATATAATTATTGCATGTGTATGATATTGTCAAATCAAACAATATCTACTGGCGGCGGTGGCGGCGGCGGCGAGCTCGTGTGGGTTAGGATTCTAACTCAGATTCAAAATTTAGATTAAATACACTGGTGTTACAACATTCTTCTGCATCTACTGCAGCGCGACTGTTTCTGAGAGTAAAAGAGAGGGAAAGAAGAATAATGGAGTAGGGGTTCCTTGGAATATACCTTCTTCTGACGCTTTCTTTCATTTTTCTGTTCCTCCTCTGTCTCTGCTCTAAGATCGGAACCGAACTTATATTCCGCTTTCTTCCATACCTTTTTCTTTTTGTCTCGCATCTCTTTCATTCATTCATTCATTCTTTCTTTCTTTCTTTATTTCCTTCCTTTTTCTTTCCATTTTTCCCCAATTCAATTCAATTCAATTCAATTCAATTCATTTTTTCTCAACCTGTTTGACCCTGTCTGGACTCTGTTCCTCCAATTACTCCCTATCGGATCTTCGGAGTTGATCTTGACCGTCCCTGCTTCCGGTTTTATCATGGAAAGCGACGGATCAAGCTGCCTGCCACTCCCCCCAGATGTGGAGAATCGGATCATCTCCGACCTTCTGAAGGAATCCGAGTCTAATTTGAAAGAAGGCAATCTCCACTATGTTGTTTCTAATCGGTATTGCTTCTTCTCGGTTTTCTAATGTGTCGAGTGGTGTATTGTGTGTTTTGGAAGTTAGGTCGCTTTAATTTTTGGTTTTCTACTTTGTCTTGTGTGTCTTGAAGTTCATTTCCAGCGTAGTCTAAAAATATGCCATTGCTATGCGTATCTGTAGTTGTCAATTCATACGTTTTATCTTTCTTGTCTCACATGTTTGTGGGCACTTTCTATCATGCGCGCTTTCTTTTTCCCGGGAGATCTTGAGTTTCTTTAAGGTTTAGTTCAATGAATTTTGGACACGTAAATTGCTGAGATTCTTTGGAATGCAAGAAATGTTCACTCTACTATTCATGCAGGTGGTTTAGAAGATGGCAATTATATGTCGGACAGCCTACTGAAGAATTTTCTAGCAAAGATCATTCCTCTGATTCCCAACACTTGAATGTGTCTCCGTTCAACGTTCTAAGACCCGGTCCTATTGATAATTCAGATATAATCAATAACGGAGGTGATTCTGAGAAAAACGAGTTGGAGATGGAAAGATTTTTGGTGGAACGACGGGATTATGTTTTGGTGCCCGGTGAAGTTTGGGAGAAACTTTATGATTGGTAAGATGTCCGCTCATTCTCTTTGTCAAATTATCCTTTGACTCATCTACTATTTCTTGTTCTGTTGCTTCTGCTTCCCTTTATCAGACATTACTTTTTATGTTGTTGGCATGCTTTTAATTGTTATCTATACATATTTCTATGGTTGTCTGTATGATATTTTTGAATATGAGCATCGTTGAATCGAAAAGTTACAAAGAAAATCCTCTAATTTATGTTAATTGAATCAGGAATTTAGTTGCAAAAAGAACTAAATAGTGCTGCAACCTCAGAAGTTGTATGACATTTTGCATATCCTCTGTTTCCTCCGTGTTGTACACTTTCCTTTTGGATACACAACAACTGATGGACATTGCCACATGTTGATAAATCAAGCATCCAAGAGCATTCAAAACATTTGAACGAGAGCTCTCAACATTTTCTACTTTATTGAAGTTGAGGCAAATAGATGTGACTGGACCTCCCCTGCCCACATGCCCAAAACACGACAACTTGTACTTATAGTAATATAGAGACGTTTCCAACTCAAAATATTCACGTTTTCTGGACTCCTCAGCTTGCACAATGCATACAAAAGAACCTTAGGTAACAATTGAGAAGTTGTAATTCCTGAAACAAAGATTAATAGTTATGTACCCAAGGGATATAAGTTCCAGATTTTGTTCTCCCCTATCAACAGGAGACCATCAATCACCTGTAATAAAGCTCTTGCTTCTTATCGCCAAGATTTCTCTTTGCAATGAATCTCCAAGACTTGTTTTGATTTTTTCTTACCAAGCATAAAAAAGAAAAACAGAGGTGTTTGGTGGCCCAGAAATTACATAAAATCCTGGAAATCTTTGGAGTTAAGCTGATTTCCTGCCTATCATTCGCAAGGAAGTATTCAACCCTTTCCATTCTGGATCATTGAGTAGTTCTCTATAACGCCTTTTAGTTTAAAATGTTCCACCAAGATAATTTATCTTTACCAAGTAGAAACTACTAGAGGTTTGATTGAGTATCTTTGAATGTAAGTAACGTGGATGGTGATTTTGGATATTCATATGATTAAACGGTATTAATCATATGATTTTGTCTCAAACTACCAAGTTTCACTTTCTGCCAACCTCTAATTTCTCTCTCGTTTGATTTGGTTTCTTTATTATTTTATGTACTCTACTTGGTGCATTCTTGAAATGGAACTGTTTCATTGGAAATTACCTATGGAATTAAAGTTGTATGTGTATTGGGTTTACTGTTATTACCATGATTTCCAAACCCAAAACTATTTGGGATGCCTGAGTTGTTGTTACGTCCTTGTTTTGTTACATTAGGTATAAAGGAGGGCCACCGTTACCAAGAAAGTTGATATCCCAAGGTGTCACTCAAAAAAAAATTTATGTGGAGGTTTATCTACTTTGTCTAAAATTGATTGATTCCAGGGATGGAAGTGAATCTACCATACGATTGAGCAAGAAGGTATTCTTCATATTTTACCCTTTGATTCATTAAAAACTTGGATAGTGCACGGTGGTCATAAGATTTTCCTTACAATTATTTGTTTGATCCCAGTTAAAAATAAATGCGGGTATATATATATATATATATATATATATATATCTTTTTTACTGATAGATCGTATATTCTGCAAGTGGGATAAAACATTTGAGAATTTTGGACCATTATAAAATTAAATCCTTGAAAGCTTGCAAAGGAAGAGGCAACATCTAAAACTTTGCAGTCTAACAGTTGAGTGAGGCTGATCCCCAAACTCCAACATGTCCAACACACAAGGGTTGCTCCAGACTTAATTAGATGAGGGGTTTAACCAATAAATTAACTCTAAAGGTGATAGTACCGAATACCTAAATGTGGTGGGTTTTCTGGGCATGTGCAGGATTTGAAGTTGGAGAACAAAATAAAAATATGAGAAGAGAAGTGAAAGGGATGAAAGGAAACCCCAAGAAGTAAAATTAGATAGCAAATACAAAATAAGAGGTGCAGATCATGTCACATTGCTTGCACCTCTGCATCAGCCAACAGGTTGAAGGTCATGATTAGTAAAATGTTCAGCCATGGCCAATCATCTGATGCCACGGGGGG